GTAGATCTAAAAGTGGGACTTGGTCGACGACTTTTCTAAAGAGTTTAGCGGGTCCCATAGTGTCGAATCCAACGGTTGTTTCTTATCTTTATGATTACTGTCTCTCAATTTAGAAAGATGAGAAACAAAAATGTCTTTAAGATTAGATTTGTGAGATGATGTCTAATCTAAAGTTTACAAAACATGCTTTATTTAATCGAATATTTATTTTAACACATATAAATCAGAAAGTATCTTAAAGACACAATATTTGTAGCAATACACGATGATTCAGAGAGTGAGAATTTTATAGAAGCAGGTATTTTGATCCATGTCAATTTGTAAAAATGTTATCTTAAGATAATAATAGTTTTGGGAATACAGACATATATTATACATATGCAATATATTAACACATCCATGGTTTTATAATTTTTGAGCATACCTCTTACTAACTCGATCACAGAGGAGGTCTCTCCAATGAGATATACCCAAATTTGCCTTTGCGAAAATCCGAAAGTATTCTAAATGCAGCTTGATGACTATCTCCACCGAACAAGTTAAGACCAAGCGTCTTCACAAATCTGCAAAAAAGATGCAGAGAGAGGAGAGAATCAAGAAGAAGCCGCGAACAATGGTTTTGTCAAAAGAAATGAGATCTCTGTGTAAGAAGTTTCATTACTTTTTACCGCAGCCACCTTCCAGCTGAATCTTGTATCGGTTGTAAAGAGCCTTTGAGCCTACTTCTGGAATCCGTGCTAGCATCTGTACAAGGATTCCAGCAACATCAGTGAAGTCGTAAGCTTTCTCTCCAATGTCATCGCAAATCGCAAGCTTTATAGCAGCTGCTTGATCATCAATACGCATAGGAAGCATTCCAGGTGAATCTAACAGATCAAGATCTTTCCCAAGCTTGACCCATCTATTTACAATAAGATAAGAAAAATAACCAGTGAGAAAGATTAAGATCTTGAATGAGTTGGTGAAAAACTGAGCTTTTTTATAAAAATGCTTTTAAATGCGTTATTACTTCATTTCTCTAGTAACACCTGGTCTTGGAGCTGCTGCGCAAATTTTCCGCTTCAATAAACGATTGATCAATGATGATTTTCCAACATTAGGGTATCCAATTATTCCAGCTCTAACCTGCATCATTTGAAATATAGCTTAGACTGAAATCGTAAATGTTGCAAAGGAGAATAATGGATCATGATACATTTTACTCACTGATCTAGGGAGAAGTCCTTTTTCTCGCCGTTTCCCATTTACATCACCTGCTAAACTTTTTGCTAACCGACCTAGCTTCATAGCTCCCTATGACCATCAGTGAGAGATTATTAAACCACCAGCTCCAAG